TGTGTGTGTGTGTGTGTGTGTGTGTGTGTGTGTGTGTATGTATGTATGTATATGTATGTATGTATATATATATATATATATATATATAGCTGCGCTACCTGTCTATCATGAGGGTTGAATGTGATGGAAGTATACCAATAGGCGTACCTCGTATGTGTGCTACGTGTATCTAATCATTGTTCGCACTATACTTTTAAGGTTAATATCGGAGCGTGTCTTCAATGAAGCATACTCTTCAGCGGAGGAAAGCGAAAGTCTGAGTTGTCTGGGAATCGTAAGTGAAAGAACTAATGCGCAATGTATACAATACATAACACAAATCGTAACGATATGTATTTACCATTTAGAATAATCCCAGGGTATTTATTTATTTACATTACTGTAAATTCCGAAGACATACCACCGGTAGGTTCAACCATCTTTGTTTCCCGCCAAGAAAAGACGCGGCCCGACGGGCAGCTTTGTAAATACATAAATATTTACATACTGTACTGTATGTACATACCATATATATATATATTGTTTTTTTGAAAAAACAAATATAATAGTTCTATTTCAAATATTTATTTATAAGTACTATAAATTGTTTATTCGCACACGAAAGAGTTCCTTCGTCCGTTCAGCTTTAGCCTTCTCTCAAGTCTCTACTCTCTACAGCCTACAGTCTACGCCACAGGGCAGTCTACACTCTATTTACAGTCTACATATTTCATTTCTGCTGCTATGAGCCTATGTATGTGTAAGAGGGGGTCATGAAAGAGTGTAAAATATCAAATACATAAACACAGTTACACACTACACAGTACACACGCACACGCACACGCACAAACACACGTGAAAGTGTATGATGATTATATATTGATACACACTCACAGATTTATAACCTACATACACGTTTCCGTATTCGGTATTTAGCCACTTGATCGACGATGAGTGATCAACGGCCCCCTGAGTCGACCAACTGGAGCAAACGTCCCGCAACGGATGACCTTGACACAAGCAAAGAACCTAAACACATCCGTTTAGATAATGCCGACACACGTATGAAGCAAACCCACACCAATGCTCCTGTCTCGGTATCAGAAGCCGAAACAGTAGACACAGTTATAGTATCGAGGAAAGCGGTACAGCCAGCGCAACCGGGAGGACCTATTAGACCTAAACGTCAAAGACAGCCAAAAGGAGCCCTTGCAAGTCAAGTACAGTGGCGAACTGAACGTATGCGAGAAATCGATGAGCGGCTCAGACACATGTTCGATACGCCTGTGTTAACGGAGAGTGAGCAGGCACAGGTACAGGCGAATGTGGATAAGGAGAAGGAGCATGTATCTCGCGATGTTGTCGCCCAGATAGCGAGGATGGAGGAGTGTCTTATTTCGGCACGTGAGAAAAAAGCGAGCCTCCTCCGGGAGCTGGATGAAGTGACGGCGCGGAAAGTAACATGGGAAAGGCAACAAAACGAAGCGGTGAAGAATAAGGCCAATTTAGTGAGCAAATGTTCGCGGGTACAGGACGACAACGAAAGCATGCAGGTGTGTTTAAAGCTATTATATGCAAAGTAAACATCACTCATATATATATATCTAAATCTAAATCTAAATTAAATCTAGAAATATATTAATGTATGTAAGTATGTTAATGTGTTTTGGTAATGTATATGTATCTGTATATTGACTACAAGGGCATATACGCACACATGTATATTACTGTGTGTATGTGATCACCTTTGAACATATTGTACGTTAGTATCCCCATGTATACATTTATGTGCATTGATAGCCTCGTGATGGATATACATGAATCCAATGCGTATTCACAACCTATTTGGAACACTCACTATTGATTCTCTCAATCAACGAGAAGTGTGGGAGATGGAAACCGTCCAGTTGCAGACCAAGATTGACACTTTTGAAGACATGGAGGATATCAAGCTCGCTTCCCGCCTACATAAAAGTGACGAACACCAAGAGAAGGTGTCTAAATTTGCTCTCCAAGAACACGCACAGCTGCAAGAGTCAGCCTACGAGCCCGAACTCGAGGCAGCGCGGAGCCTGAAGGCTCAGAAATTGGAGGAGTTATTCGCACTTGAACACAAATACGAGGAACTGGACCGGATGGACGCTGAGGTAAACGACCGGTTCGAGAAGCTGAGCCAACTAAAGGTAAAGATAGCCGCTGCGAAGGAATGGAGCCAGCGAGGATCTCAGAGACGCGTGTGCCACAGGTGGGTGTATGAACTTGCTATATATTTACGTATTGTGTTGTGTGTGCCGCTGAGGGCCGGCAAGAATCTCAGGCATGTGCCACAATTTGTACACGTATATTTACATAGTTACGTGCACAGGATATATATATATACGGGTGTGCGTGTGCGTGTGATATATATATATATATATATATATAGTTTATGTGTATGCGTGGGTGCGTGCGTTTCTATGTATTGTGAGATTATATACATCTTATACGGTGCCCGGAACAGACCCGACCTTGCATACTGAAAATGTGTGAGACTACAGGGCTTTGCCAATCGATGTTTAAGCCAGTTGTGATCCATTCAGCTTATCTCAACATCATCCCTCATTCACCACTTCCAACTGACCACGTTGTACAATTTTTATAATCCAGTATTTCAATACTTCAGCATTTGAATAATCAAGTATTCCAATTATTCAGCTTACTGGATCACCTGCGTTGTCCTACGCTCACCATTTCTCATTGTACCCATTGTGCAGTCCATGCATTCAGTATGTGAATCTGGTATATTTAATTTACATACGGCCGCTTTTATCCAAACGTAGTGTTCGAGAACAACATGAAACTTCGACAGCAGCTCAACGCCACGCGCTACACCACGCGCATGCTACGGTTACAACAGCCGTCTAATGAACGCAAGCCGTTGCTGAAGCTCAAGTGGACACGTAAACACACGCTTAGCCTTATCGAGAATTTATGTGGCGTTTTAAAACAGTTGAAAGACTTCGACTGGAAAAAGAAAAAATAGATTTCGAGTTGATTTGGAAACGGACCTGATATTAAGGTTTGTTCTATCTGTGAATAACCAGCATCATGTTGTACTGGAATCGACTGGTGAGTATCAACATGCTGCTGTACTGGAAGTGATTGGTATCCACGGATATATACTGATCAAGTAAACACTAAATTGCTAGGAATAAAACTAAATTAATAAGACTACAACTAAGAGTATATAATATCGAATATATAAACACAGTTACACACTACACAGTACACACGCACACACAAACACACGCGAATGTGTATACTGAATTTACATACACAAGCACGCACGCACACACGCGAGAGTGGATAACGAATATATATTGATACACACTCTCAGATTCATAACCTACATACACGTTTCCGTATTCGGTACTCCGCCACTGGATCAAAGATAAGAGATCGACGGCCCCCTGAGTCGACCAACATGAGCAAACGTCCCGCAACTGATGACCTTGACACACGTAAACAACTTAAACACATACGTTTAGATAGTGCCGACACACGTATGAAGCAACCCCATATCAATGCTCCTGTCAATACAAATATACCACATTCGAACTTTCCAGTTGGTACAAATGAACCTCTAAGGGCAAATGCTGTTCTCAAGTTACGTAGTAAGGACGGCTCTGCTGTTTCTGTTCGGAGAGTGGGTAGTGCTCTTAAAAACAGTTTGTCTATTGGCACGTACCTCTATAGTTCTAATTTCGTATAGCACTGGGCAGAATCACAGTTATTAGATAGTGTTCTACGTTCGACATGATACTGTCCTACGTTCTACATTTAAAAATTTAGTTCGCAATTTGAGCCAATTTGAGCTAATTTGAGACATTGAGAGTTCGATTTCCAGAAACAACGGTGGTATTGACGGGTGACGAGTCTGACAACTTGTAGTCCAGGAGTGAGTGTGTTGACATTGTGCGAACGAAAGTAGCGTACGCTGGCCGTGAGAAGGACAAGCCACTGAGAAGATTAAGATAATAAAATAGGCCACCAGCCAGTATTTTTTATGACGTTGTAGTCGAGGATGCTCACGGGAATGAGAGCGGACCTCGACTGGCTGGTTACGTACGCCAGGCTTTATGCCGGTGTCTGGCCCCCAAGTTCAGAAGCCATCGGCAACGGCGGCGTTTGCTAGGTTCTCCGTCAGGATACGGAGAGGATGTATGAGGAGTTACAATAGCTTGTCGTGTTTATGTGCGGTAGGTCAATGTTGAAGGTGTTGATAGGGTAGTCCGAGGAGCAGAACGACAATACAACGTAACCGGTGGCTTCTGCAGCCGGCTATATGGCTGCGATGCACAAGAGACTTGCGGCATACCAGGCGGGTGCCCCAGTTGTGGACTTAGATGATCCAGTGACACCCCAGCTATCAGTGGTGCCGCGTGGTGCAATGGCACGGGCGGTCAGCGAGACGAGTGACGAGGCGATAGATGCGCGGGCGCCGAAGAAAAGAGGGCCGAAGGTCGCAGCACAGATGCGGAAGGAGGCCAGGGGCGCGGCCAATGCAGCAAAGAAGGTGGAAGCATTAAAGCAGGCGGGACAGCGTGCGGCAGGGTTGCAGTCGCAACACCTCTCTGGCCTGGGTATGTACACGATACACAAACTGGCATGAGCAGAACCACGCCATCCTTGCGATGGCGGATGGTAAGATAGAAAGATATTTGTTGTCTCATTGTGCAACAGTTCCGAAATTTCTAGACAAGGTACTTGAGGAAGTGGACTGACAGACGGAGCATGTGGCGGAGCTCATCGAGGGGATCTTCTGCCCAGCAGCATTTGCAAACAGGATCAAAATATCGTGTTACAGTGAAGAATTGTAAAGTAGAATGAGTATAAATCGGTGAAAATTTGGGAAGCTGTCATAGTGATTGATTTATCAATGTTGGGGATTTTCAAAAAAGAAAAACACCTTGACGTCAGAACCCCAAGAAGAACATCATATCACTGCACCAAAGTCTTCCTAGACAAGAAACAATAAGCATAGTACATGTACACTAGAATAGTCAAGAGAGCCAGGGCTCAGACAAAAACGTATGTAAAGAGGCACACAAATATGTGGTAGATGGTATGAATCATCATATTACAATATCAATAAGAGCACTGTATTACACAAAGAACCACACAAAAGGTTTAACATACGCCAAACAATCAAGAGTGACCCAAGAAATCAGATCGAGTGCACAAATCACTCAAAGACGATCTCGATAGGGAAGCATCACTCCCAGCAGTAAAACGATCCAATAAATCTATTACAAAACCACAACGAAGTGTAGTAGACTTAAAAAAGGGTAACTTCAAGCAAACAAAATAAGATAAATTGATATCTAACATCGAGGACCACATAAGGACACACTTGAAGGAATTATGAATATATCAAGATCAAATTAGATTCAGTTTAGCAACATTCTAGCCTACCAACTGAGCATAAGAGCCCGCAAAGCAGTGGGTCACACAAACAGACCAAGAAACACAGCTAGAAGCGCACATGCATTAGAGAGGGTGGGTAAATAAAAGCAACATACACAGTTGAGATGGGTGCGCTAAACATCGAAATCAACGGTTAAGGGGTCAAACAGGTACGCTACATTTCATTGTACAGCAGATAGTGCAGTACTAACACATATCGATCCACACAACATAATAAACAAGACCATTGGTCGTATACACTGCTATCTAAGAACAACCCCGATTGGAAGTGCAATCAGCATGGACATCAAGTTCACAAACGATCGAAAGTAGTTTGTATAGAAATGATATCAATATAAGGTGTCTCTCATCTAATACAGTCACAAGACAAATATTCAGAGGCAACAGTAATAAGACTTACAACCCAGACTATTCAAAAGAGAAAAGGACAATCAGTCCTGACCTCGATAGTTCTAGGAATCAACATCGGATGTGAAATCCAAGCAAAGATCACATACAATATAGATACAATTAGATTTAAAATAAAACAGAAATAGTTATATACAACAGTAACAGGACTTACAATACGGACTATCAAACGAGAACAGGACAATCAGTCCTGAACTTGATACTCCTAGGAATCAACATCGAATACGAAATCTAAACAGGGATCACATACAATCTAACTGCGATTAGAGGTCAAACACGATATTCACAGCGAGATATCTACAACAATAACAAGGAACATAAAGGCACACAAGACAGGCATATCACATGCCAAGTGACACCGAAATTCAACTGAACTTTGAGCACAACAAACGCCGATATACACGTGTGTAATAATTCAGCAGGCACACAGCCACAGTACAGAGGCAAGTAGTTGCAAGGTATTCCGAGGCCAGTTTATACACGACCATAGTTTGGTACAAGACCACACCTGAAAACGAATTAACACCGTAGCAAGAAGTCGGTACAGGACCATTCATTACACGTGACGTGAACATAACAAGAAGTCCGGTACTGGACCGAACATCCAGTGGTGACGTCAACCGGACCGAACTTCCTCGGTGATGTCAACAGGACCGAACTTCCTCGGTGACGTCAACAGGACCGAACGTCCTCGATGACGTCGACAGGACCGAACTTTCCCAGTGACGTCACGAGGACCGAACAATTCTTTGAGATCACAAAAGAGAAATTTCTCATATGATGGAATAATCACAAGTAAAGTCCACACGTGACGAAATAAGCTTGACTAACAAACATCGTCCAACCCCACCCAGTTACAGGAAGGAACGCAACAAGCTACCGCATCACAGATGAACGGTAAAAACTTCACACGGAAGTGCAGCAAAACGAGACCACAATAATAGTATGATTCTTACAAATAACCTACAATTTCCACACACCAATACAGACCCTTCAAGATGCCAACGGCAACCAGAGCAGACGCGTATGGTGGTGAAGAAGGAATTTTTGGCTTCAGCAATGCGTTTAGAAATAAACATGAGCATCTTACAAGGCAACTATGTCCTGGTTGGTAGATTTGTATCCAAATTAGAACAGACTGCACCGGTGTCCATAGCCACTCTGCACAAGATGAGAGTGGGCATTCACGATCAACAGCCAGAACGACGCATGTCAATTGTCGACAATGAGATCAGAAGGTGATACGATCTAGCTATCAATGAGTGTGGTGACGATGAAGAAGATAAACTTAATCAAATCAGTCAGTATATCAGTGAGTTAGAATTCATGCGTTCATGCTTAGGCGATAGAATAAAGGAACCTGCACTTGAAAAAATACTAAAGACCTCAGAAATTACGAAGCTACCTAGTAATAGTTACTTCAAAATGGAAAATCGTGGAAGACATTGTAGATTTCACTAAACAATGCAGAGACCTCATTAGCCAAGTCTTTGCCACTATGTCAGTACCAAGCACTAGTGAGATATCATCTAGACTCCACTGATGCAACGGAGAAGACCAATCCAGTGCTCAATGAGTCACGAGACTCTGAAACACAGATAACCAAGCACTCAAAGGATCCTAAACAATTCAATAGAATCCTTATTTACATAATCAGACACCATCCAGTAAACTATCTGTTAAAGAAGTTTCTCAATGACATGCAGAACAAGACACTGAACGTATAGGTGTGCACAGAGCAAGTTCATAGAACAATGGAGGTGTTTGAGGAGCGTTACCGCAACTCAGACAAAGAGCCTATACATTTGCAAATTCTCAAGGTCCAAAGATGCCAAGCACTCACGTACTATGGACAACAAGAGAAAGTGAACGCTGTCATTAGGGCAGACAAGCAATCTGATGGAAGTGAAGGTCACATATCGGATATGAAACACACTGTACTCTACCCTCTTACTGAAGCAACCAAAAGAGCAGCAGTCAAAGTGCAGGCAGATCGGTTGATAGAGAGCGTCAGAAGCGACACCATCCGCAAACAACTAACCACAGTCGGGCTCAGAGTAGCACAACTATTACGACCAAACGGCACAAACCGGACAACGGTGTACCCAAGCAAACCAAACCAATAAGACAACCCCAAGAGAATAAAGGGGCGCGCGAGGAGCGTGCATGTCCTTATTGTAAGGTGATACCAGCCCCGCATCGGTTCAGTCAATGTCCCATGAAGCCATCGAGCCAGGCCAAGCAGGCCGAGGAACGTGTCAAACACGTTGTGCATATAGCAAGATTGTCTAATACCTCCGGCAAGGTGGAACACATCACAGAAGGTGAGGAACACTGAAACAACTGGTGGGCGGAAGCAAACATGATCGACCTGGCTGTTAGGCTCAATGTATATACATTTGAAGAGACGTTGTTAATAAATGTAAATGATATACATTACCAACTTTCATCTTTACTTCCCACAGCACGAAACCAACGTTTACACATTCACATACACATTACTGGTGATACATACAATGAACTAGTAGACTCGGGTGCATAACGCTCATGTATGGACAAGAGTGTGGTAACTGAACTATATCGCTCGGTCAGAGCGCACCTGGGTTATATACAATTAGCTCAAACAGATGCAAGAATACAACGTTATGATACAACGTTATGGAGGAAGGAAAACATCCTAGTGTTTTTTAGTGTTGGACCTCCCAGACAAGAAGACATCGATACTTCTTGGTATGAACATTTTGCCATACACAGGTATATACATACATAGCAGGATTAATCAATCCACTTATATTTACAGATACAAAATGAGAATCACTCGTCACTACACTTCCAGGAATGGGACATTGTCATGGTCCGTTATCAAGGTGAAATGAATAAGATTACTACACCATATGGCGGACCATACAAATTAGTATGCAGGGAGGGCAACAGGTATTTTGTTTGTAACCTTGATGGGGCTAAAGCCCCGGAAACTCGGTCAGTGATGAGCTAATTGGACTCGTAAAAAAATTCAATGCTCAGGAAAAATTTACCTCTATTAACCAAATACAACCAACTGGGATCTTTAGTAGTTTGGATAGTGCTGGTTCTTTAACTTTATCACCTAATTGTGTACGCAGGATTGCTAGCTTGCTGATGTATTGACTGATTAAATTACTTCATCCTCCTTGTCATCACTACACACGTTGAAAGTTTGGTCATATCTCTTTCTGAGTTCTGCGTCTACCAGTAGCATGCGACGTTTGGTCGCTGATCGTGAATGCATACTCTCATTTTGTGTAGACTCGCAAAAGCTACAGGTGCTGCTGTTTTCAGCTTGGATACGAACCTACTGATCAACAAGTAATTGCCTTGACAAATACTCTTATCGATTTCAAAACGCATTGCTGACGCCTGTGTGGGTACCCCATTAGGTGTTGGTAGACTTGAGCTACTACCTGGGGTTGACCCTCCCGCTGGGCTGTCGCTCGCGCCATTCGCGTTTGCGTCACCCCCTTCACCGCCATAGTTTTACCCTTTTTAACCATTTCACCAAGGTTAAGCCCTGGTCATTTAGTTAAAACGTGAAAACCCACCCGCACACCCTCTACACCGAATAATCATGAGATAGACTAGAGGAACCAGTATTACCGCGGCTGCTGGCACTAGTCTTTGCCTGTCTTTTTGCAAAATAAAAAAAGGTATTAGTTTGATGAATAGCTCAACTTAAGATTAGCTAGTAATTCAGAGGGATGAACGTTTTCCATCACATAGCTAGCAGTTCTATGGTCTGGTCTATCTCTAAGTCTAGTGGCAATAGTTTTCAGAGCAGTAAAGTGTAGTAGTACAACATCTTATCGGAGTGTAGTAGGGTATAAAAGATAATTGGGTTCGTGTATTACAACGTCTACGTGGTATGAAGGGTGGTTGGGGACTATAGCATCACCTCTATCATTGCCCCGAAGGGGTACCGGAGGTGTAGGAGGGCTCCTGCATTCCACCATGATTCCCCTACGGGTAATCATTGCCCCGAAGGGGTACCGGAGGTGTAGGACGGCCCTGCCTGACCATCAACTTTACTTACTGACCAATTTTCTTATGTCCTCTATGAAGCAATTTAATCTATTTTGTATTACCCTGTGTAAAAGTCGGTCTCCTCTAGACAGACTATACGATACCAAGATGTTTACGTTAATACGTTAAAATACGTTAATAGTACGTTGAAATGTTAAATGTTAAATAAGTTTAGCAGCCCTTGGTAATGAGCAAAAGAATAGGGGATTTTAGACTGAGACTATTGTTTATAAGCTCCGCTCTAATCACTCACTACTTCGGTCTAGATTTATTTATGCTTTAGTTACTAAGATTAGATATCATTTCATTGGACGCATAGCTTACATTTCACGCCTCGAAACAATCTCCCAATCAAACTAAAATAAAGTACCTCTCTAAGTCCAACTTAAGAAAATAAAAAATCAAACCAAAACACCAAGCTGGTGCAGTATACATCTGCACCTATACCCCATCGCTTGGTACCTAGCTACCCATTCCATTTAAGGCATAGACGAGCACATCTAGTTGGCTGGCTAGGAGGAATCAAAACCAAGTTGTCCTAAATTCTAACAACTCTTATCCTGTCCTTTTCTCAGTGGAGTATCTTGCTATGAGATCATTATTGAATAATATTATAGGTTTGTACCAACAACCATTTCATGCCTGAGACCCTCTCTCATGGTACTCCCATTAATTAGAGATTCCTAAAGTGTCATTTTCAGGTATCAGATTGGTGTCGTTCCTATACTATGTACAATTCTAATTTCAGTGGAAAACCCAATCTATATTTGGAAAGCCACCTAATTGTCCACAGGAGAGTCCCATACTCTACTGAGTACTTTTACATGTTCAGAATCTTGAATTTCTCAGTTCGTGTTCATGTCCAATTCGTTAAACGTATTCCAAGATTACGAGTATACACGTTAGTACGTTAATGCGCTTATAATATACGTTAACTGTGCAACTACTATTAGGAACCCGCTATTTTTACATGTACACCCTGCTAATAATCCCCTCCGAGGGGGATGTCCAAGCAATTAGCTTTATGTTTTACTATTGCACCTGAGTCACTGTCACTGAGAGTACAGTCCGATAGACGGTCAACCCCGATATAGTAAGGTGCCGAACCACGGCGTAGATGTGGACTCTTGGCCGTGACTAGCCTGTTATCCCTAATGTTACTTTTATTCGTTGATCGCTAACTAAACCACTTAAATTAGCAGTTCATTAGAACCTTTTTTTCGTATCTGTTCGACTAGTAAGTCTCATATTGAGGCTGGCATGTGCTCTTACGTTTTAATGCTGGTTTCTAACCCGCTGAAGCCTGCCATATTTACCACTTCGTTTCCTTTTAGACGAGCTCCGCCCCAGACAAACTGACCTACATAAAGGATCCCGTCAGATCCCGCAGGGATCTCACTGAGTGTTAGTATCATTCACTCCCCTGGGTATCACTATCATTGCCTTGAAATGATATGATCCCCCTACGGGGTAATCATTAGTGACCTCTCATCCCTGACAGAGTCGACTTTCAAAGTGAGTATAAAAGTAAAGGCCACCACACCATAAGTAGGTCGATAAGCTAAAGAGTATATATTAAGAATGATATTACACTGTTATTCAGTCGCATATCTCTATCCCACGAACACTCACCCCACTCTAGAGTGGGGTGAGGCGTAATAATAGTAATTCTATAATCCTAGCAAAAAAGAAATAGGTTCACCGCCTATGGGAACCATCTCAGCTACCCAGACACGCCCCTGCTCTGGTTGCTGTTGGCATCTTAAGTTGTCTGTGTTGGTGTGTATGTATCCCAGATTATTAGTAATATAAGTAAAGACTTGTTATATATTCGTTGCGAAAAAGCGCTTCACCCACCCCCCCACCCCTCTCTTTCTTAGCTAATAACAATTAAAATAATAATAAATTGAATTTATCTCACTTACTTTTGTCGGTATCACGCTTTGCTGCACTTCTGTGTGAAATGTTTACCGTCCTGTGTTGTGTGGTAGCTTATTGCGTTCCTCCCTGTGATTGGGAAGTTGCTTTTATTGTTTGTTGGTTGAGCATATTTCTTCACATGTGAAATCAGCTTTGCTTGTTTTATCATGTGCGATATTAATATGTGACTTGTTTTACCACGCGTGGCAATAGTTTTTTTGTCATATGTGATTTCAGTTGTACCGATTTTCTCATATGAGAATTAGGCCTTGTTTTGACACGTGGGCTATTTGAGATATATACTTTCTCTTGTGTAATATTTGGTCCTGTACTGAACTTCCACTGTTTTTATTTGATGTGAATGTTGCACCTGCGAATGTTTGTTCTTCTACGCCATGTCTTGTACCAACCACTGTATCGAACTCTGTATACTGTACTGTATCTCTGAATACTATACTAGTGGTGTGTCATTGCTTCGTATTTGTATATATACACGCTGTCTCTTGTCACTTGGATCTAACTGCTTTTTAAAGCTGCTCATTTGTGCCTTGTAATATCAATTGTGTAGCCTTATTTAGCTGCGATCGTATTATTTGCTTTCGATCTCATGTAACACTTTTGTGTGCGTGATCGCGTATTGGTCGTGCTAGGGCTTTCTAATGTATTGGATAGATGTTCACTACTACTGTGGCATGCCACTGTAGACGTTCATGTGAAAACTTATGTGTGTTCGCAATCTCTACACATACTCTTCTATTAAATCGCAGGACAAATCTCGAACGAGCAGCTACGGTAATTACCAATGATCCAGAAGGGTACGTGTAGATATTGGATTACTATTATATTTTCCCAGGTAAGTGATAAAAGGACATCAACAGAGATGGACAGGGACATGACAAACAAATAAACGAAAAGTAGAGCAAAAAGATTCTAAGCGAACATCACTAAAGAACCACAGAGCTATTACACATGCGTAAAGACCATAAAACTATTACACAGACGAGAATGTTTAGATCGAGCATTCACACATTGAATCGAAAACTCAAGCAACATCACGTGCACAAACAAGACACGCAGAGCCAGGCTTGCGACAAAGCCATATGAGGGAAGATCACACAAGAATATCGACACAACATAAGGACAGTCCACAGGTCTAAACAAGGTTTATACAAGGGATAGCCCAAACAGGCGAACGACTCACACATCAACACAAGGTATCAAATTGACACACCAGCACAAGTTATTGAATACAAGAAGTGAGGTACAAACCACAGTTCGATACAGGACCGAACATCAAGGGGTGACCTCCACTTAGACTCAGTTCAATACAGGACCAAACATCAAGAGATGACGTTACCAGGA